TCGCTTAATCTCAAAAATTCGCTATATTAGTTGTAGGTTGTAACGTGGACCGATGTGCGAGAAAGCTGAATCCTTAGCGAAAACGGACAGGCGGCTCCGTTTGACAAACACAGATGGTTGACGTACACAAACGCAAGCCAAGGTACGAAGAAAAGGCGAGACTTGCTAATAGCACGGTTGTTGGCAACCAAAATTTGAACACCGCGCGCAAAAGTCGCACAACGCTTCACAATAAATAAACTTGAGGGTTAACTTCCGTCGGGTCTGTCAGGGCGTTCACTTTCGGTCTTCTTGAAAGTGAAGGAAGACTTAAGCGTAAAATAACATGAGGCAATAAGTATCGTTACATATTTCTTATTTTACTGATCGCGCGCTTTTTCTTGCAAAGCCTAAGTTTAGTTAAATACTTGCTATTATTTTCCACATTTATGCTCGCAATTATTCAATTTCTTTTTCTTTTTCCTGATATGCCCCATCCATAAAACCTCTATTACCAACGACCACGCTGCTCTATGTAAGGAACCTTTCCCTATCAGTCCACAATTCAAGCATCTGCGGAAAACTAATATATGGCTAACAATTGTCGATTTTTCTCATTTTGCTTGTCGCGCGACGATCGGTGACTAAATAGCTGCGTCTTCGAGTCCTATACGGTTTTGGGGCAGAGGACTATATAGGGATCCTCGGAGGGTGAACGTGCAAAATAACCGCTTACTTACACATTTCAGAAGGGTGAACCTCCGCAATCCGTGAAAAATGAAGATTGCGGAAATTCACCCAACTGAACATTTGTAAGTGCGCGGTTGTTATAACTTCTTTATAAATTCGATGGACCAATCGTAGCGCTTACTTACACTAAGTTAGGCATGTGACAGACCAGCCTTATCGATCAGCCGTGAGCTTGCGCACATCTCCTGTAATGTCGGTAGTCTCATCTTCCACTTACAGAGGGTTAGCTTGCAGCTCTTACACTGGCCCGTGAGCTGTGCATTTTTTGATCTTTTGCTATAGGATCACGGTTGTTATCGGTCGCAAAGCATTCCACTTGCCTGGTCGTAGGGTTGTAGCTGTCTAAGTACTTGGTGTACTTGGATCACTACAATCCTCAAGCCGAATCCCAGGTTGGAATTTAGAAGGCAGAAGGCACCTGTGAGAGGGATCTATTGTATACAGAACTGCCTTCAAGCAAGTTCCTACGCTCTGAGTTACCTTGTCTGTGGCGTCAAGAGTTAGGAGGGCGTCGAGCAGCAGCGACCACTACAGAGTCACCATTGGTATCGGCACTAAAGCGCTACGCGTGCTCGGCAACTGCATAGGTCGTGTGAGCGGCTTCCGACATCGGCAGTACTGCTATTGGCACGGTCACCGCTGTTTTTCTTGTCGTCTACGTAATCCTTACCCTCTGTGTATCCCCTCAGTCTTACCTACTACCTTCAGCTTTGTCTACGGTCTCTTCAGACCCTTACAAAAAACAAATTTCCCTTTCCGTCCTCTAGTCGTGATCGGCCACGCCTCGGCTTGCCATTCGTCACCCTTGGGCTTCGTATCTACACTGCATAACTC